ATCAGAATTTTCTAAGTACAGGATCTCGACATCAAGATTTCAATATCGTAGTTCTCGAACTGATTTTTCGATATCAGTTTCTCGATAGCTAGTTTTCGATATTTGATTTCTCGAATTGCTTTTTTGATACACAGGTTCTCGAATTGAATTCTCGATATTCAGGTTCTCGATATTCAAGTTTTCGAAACTTGATTTCTCGAACTTTGATTCTTGATATTCAATTTCTCGAATCCCGCTTCTCGAAATTCAGGTTTCTCGAAGTATTTTATCAAAATCTTCTTTCTCGATAAACTTTTCTCGAAAAACAGGTTTCTCGAACTCTGGTTTTCGAAGTCTAGTTTTCGATATTCTGTATTTGAACCCTGATTTTCTGTTAGCTATGTGATCAACCACTCGACGGTCAACTTTTGAAGAACATAATGGATGCTTTATCTCTTGGAAAACAAAGCAGACCCCCGATCCTAAGAAGGGGTGAATATCTAATGTGGAAGAACCATTTTCTGAATTTCCTGGAAAGCAAGGACAATTCATCAGCGATGCTAGAATCTTTGAACGAAGGACCAGCTGAGTTGCGGATGACCGTAGGAGGAGACGGTGTTAACAATCCCCCAGTTGACCCTGTTAGAAGACTAAAGACTGAAGCTGAGTACACGGATGCAGATAGGCTACGAGTCAAAGCTGACCTGATGACAAAGACATACATGCTTCAAGCGATTCCTAACGATATTTACATTCTGATTGACATCATGGAAACTGTGAAAGAAATGTGGGATGAGGTGAACAAGCCGATGTAAGGAATTGATCTTAGACTGAAGACTAAGGAGGCCTGCATTCTAACTGCTTAGGACTCTTTCAAAGCTAAGCCCGGTGAACCGCTCCATGAAACGTATAACAGATTCGTGATGTTGATTAATGACATGAGAAAGATCTAAGTGATCAAATCAAACATGGAACTGAATATACGTTTCATGTCCAGTCTCAACCCTGAGTGGAGAAGAAAGGTGAAGAATATCTAGCAAAACTTGGACTTAGATGAGGTTGACTTATATACTATTCATGATCACCTTGAGCAGTTTGTGAATGACACTGATGAGATGCAAGGAAATTTTGATGTTGATCCATTAGCAATTTAGCACTTATGATGGAAGCACAACCCAAGAACTCATCTAAGGTTCATAAGAGGAAGAAAGTGATTGTTGTGTCTGAAGAGGAAGAAAGTGAAGATGAAGTTGATGGTCTGAGCTAGCTGAGCTTCAGAAGAAAATGACCCTGCTGACTAATCAATTCAACAAAAAGTTTTTCAAGAAGCATAGTTCATCAAATAAGCTGAGAACTTGTTCATCCAACTACAAATAGAAGAACAACGATCTGAATGCATCTGAGAAGGCAATTGCAGCTGAAGAACCTCCCAAATGCTTCAATTGTGAATAAGATGGACATCTTATCAAAGATTCTCGCTTGCCAAGGAGGAGAGACTTCAATTATTATAAGCAGAAGATGCTCCTGAACAAACAAAAGATGTTCATGACTAAGCAAGATGATGAAAATGCTGCACTGCTAGTTGAGAAAGATCATTGGATGGATGATTCTTCGAATGAAGAAGAGGAAAACTTGGCGTTGATGGCTATTGTGTTGAAAAGAATGATGAAAAGAGTGATGTTGCGATCTCCAAAGAAGAAGGTGAAGGCTCGAATGATGATGTAAGTGTCTCCAAATCTCCCTGTTCATGTAATTGCCGAATTCATTCCTCGCATGATAAGGATAGAATCATTAAAGAATTAGAGGAGAGGTTAGAAAACAATCATAGAGTCTTACTGAAGAATCTAGACAAGAATGCCTCACTTAACATACAACTGGAAAATTTTAAAGAAAAGGTTAAGAACTTGATTTTACAAACATATAAGCTAGCATTGAATGTTGTTGATCTAACTAAATGTTTGCGTGAGGTTGAGATAGAGCTAAACCAAACACGAGCTGTAAGAGCAACTCTTCACGATCAAATAAGTGTTGTTTACAAAAAAATCAAGGAACTAGAGGACTTAATTGCAAAGAAAGGTCAAACTGAACGAACCATTTTCCTAAATCAAACCAAGGACACCCGTTTCTATAATTCTAAAGAAGGATTTGATGTGTCCAACCCATGTAACTTGAAAAAAGTTAACTGTCGTAAACTGTATGACATCAGTTACATGGGTCTCAGATTGACCAAGTTAATGTCTTTCGTTGTTGCAAAAGAAACGGCTGAACTTGAAGATAAAAAGAGATCAAATGTTACTATAATTGAAATTCCTTTTGATTATGTTGCTTTGAATAAGAGTTATGAAACCAAAGAACCTGAATTTTCTACTAATGAGAGGAAAGATCAAAGACAGACAACTGCATATGCTGAGTCACAGATCTATGGACAAACAAAGAGAGGTTCTACAGCACGATCTATAGACATGCAAGAATCCAGTTTGGAAAATTCTAAACATAGCTGAACACCATACTATCAAACTCTTTGTTTATTTGTTTATCGTCTACAACGCACTGACGAGACAAAATTCACATGTCAAGAGAAAGACTTCTTCACGCTGAAAATGGATGACATCTACTAGATGTTCATGGCCTCCAGAGAACTTCCCGTCAGTAGCAGCCAATTTGTACAATAAGGCTTCAATGTTATCAAACACTCATGACAAGACAAGTCTGACAAGACAAGTCTGAGTTCACGCTGCCCATGATCTTCAAATGGTCCTTGAAGACAACCTCCCAAAGGCCAATCTCACACAACCAAAGTTGTACGGACCGGAGCTCGAACAGTTTCCTGCATATCATATCTTTGATGATCTGGTCTCGATAATCTACTTGAATCACAATGAAGAGAAGCGCATGATGATGGTTGAAGAAATCAACAAGTACTGTGATGAGACCCTGAAGATCATACGGGAGAAGCTGCAACCACTGAAAAAGGGATTTTGATATCAGACTGGCTGAAGCATCGGACGCTGAAGAATCTCACAGATTCGACAGAATTCTGAAAACTATCGAGAAACAACCTGACAAGAGAAGGTCACTCAGACAGTATGAGTATGTACTTAACCTGAAAAAGAATTATTACAAGGCTCATAAGTGAAGAATAGGAAGACGACACTTGATCACAAATGGGGAGATTGTTGAAGATTATTATTGTGAAACAAGTTTGTCATATGTCTTGTTTTTAATTAGTTTTATTTTTGCCTTTTATGGTATATGTTTAATTGTAATAAGTAGCCTAGAAATGGAATAGGGTCACTTATGCTTTGGCCCATATTCCTAGGTTAGGCCTGGATAAGGAAACTTGTACACCTGCACCTATAAGTACGCGCATAGGGTGTACAACTCCTATCTTTACGCCAAATATTCCGCTGTAATACTTAGAGAGTTTCTCGATATATAGAAAGGGAGAGTTCAATGTTCGATATCTGTTTAGATCATTATCTGAATCTCTTCTTCTTCTTCTATTATCGATGATGTCCATTCAATAGTTTCGTTTATCACCATCATTTTGGGAGCAACATTAGCGAAGTGGAAGGATTCATTGGATCTGTTCCATTCTATGTCTCATCTCACTATAGCCTTAGGCTATGCATTCTCTTGTGTCTTTGCTATCGTTTAATAATACCTTAGTTATTTTGTTTAAAAACAAAACCAATTGAAAATAGATACTCCCTCTGGTTCTTTTTAAACTTCACACTTTCCTTTTTGGGACGGTCCAAAATAAACTTCACACTTCCTTATTTCCTTATTTGGCAAAGAAATCTGCATCAAAACAGTGTTAAACAGTGCTAAACAGTGTCTCAACAGTGCTAAACAGTGTCTCAACAGTGCCAAACATTGTCAAACAGTGTCTCAACAGTAAAGTCAAATTTATTTCCTTAATCGATGTGAAGTCAAATTGCGAAGTTTAAAAAGATCCGGAGGGAGTACGTAATATTATTTCTTACATTCATGGAGAAAAGTTTTTCGATATTTAAAAATTAAGACACGAAAATATGGAAAATGGTGTTGGTTAATAAAACGGGGCGTGTTAACAGGCTCATACACACCCATTTACGCCTATTTATATAACGGGCTTGTAAAAAAAGCCGCTTTGATAATTACTCCGTATTAAGGGAATGTTTGTGATACTTCTATTTTTTTTATCGTTAAACCAACAAATATCCTACTACCTCTGTCTCATTTATATTGTCCCGGAAGAGGGTGACACAGTTATTAAGAAAAGTGGATTTGTGTGATTGATATTAATTGATAAATTAAGAATAAAGTAAGAATGATTTAGAGTCACACAAACTTTGCCAAATATGGTACTCCCTCCGTCCCCCTAACTTTGTCTCGTTTTACCTTTTTCATTCGTCCAATTAAGTTTGTCTCATACCATATTAGAAAATATTTGAGTGGTCAGAATTCATTCTACTTTATTCACACTTTATCAATTCAATTCTACCACACAATTCTACTTTTTCTTAAAATCCACACCACACTCCTTCATCCCAAACTTAGGAGAACAGATGTAATATATGACAATTTAAGTGAGACTTCTCAAAAAGGTTAACCAAACAATATATAAATGGGACGGGGGATTACTATATACAAAGCCACGTGAGAAAATTGGCAAAGTTCCCGCCTAAACATCCGGTCAAAGTCTAAAGCATTCTGATGTCAAAATAAGATTAAAGGAAATTGGATAAAATGTGTCTGACCTGGTCAAGGTAATCAGTCTAGGATAGTGTAGTGCTTTGGAATTTTTTTAAAAAGAATAGGTAGTTTTAAGGTAGCATATTTTTGTCTATGGTACTTTTAAGGTAGCATATTTTTGTCGACCAATGAAAAGATAACAGTTGAATTATTTGAAATATAAATTAAAATTGATAAAGTGATATAGTCAAATCTAAGTAGGATACCCCGTTTTTAGAAAGGTACCCGAGTTTTTAGAAAGGTAAGAGAAGATACCCTGTTTTTTAGGAAGGTCCCCAAAAATTGATGGTCATTTAACGTCTGCTGTCTATGTCATCTGAAAAGGGAAGAAAGGAGGATCGTGATTTAAGTTCAGCTCTATACCCCTAAACTCATCTCTCATGGGTCTTGAGAGCCGGAGATGAGATTGCCGACAAGGCAACTGGCTGACTGGTGGCGTCTCTGTGGCTTGCGGACTTCACAAAGAAGAAGTCGGATACCATTTCACTTTGTTTGGGGTTTCTGGAATCAGCATACAAGTGAATGTAAAATTCTGCAGGTCAGGAGTTCTACATTTGGCTATACCTCTTATTTTGATACTGAGGTATATTTTTAATTCCGTGTAAAGGCTTTTCTGTGCTTAACAATAAGCGTTGAATCTGCAGCAACAAGAGTATTATATTTCAACATCCTGGTGTGATATATCATAAAAGCTGTGATTTTTATTCATGTTCTGAAAAAAAAAGATTGAGGTTGATCTTTTCTTTCCTTTTATTTTATTTTATGTTTCTTAGATGAATGTTAAATTTCTATCATGAAGTTGCAGCAGGATGAAAAAGGTGAGTAAACATCTATACCGAGCTAGATATACTTGAAAACTTTGTAAGGAATTTTCTTACATATTATGATACTACAGACTACGGAGTATTATTTTCTGAAAGTATCATATTCTGAAAGTATCATGTATATAATACTTTTATATACATTTGACAATGTCTTATTACTCCTATATATGTAAAGAAGCAGTTTACAACTTCAGTTTTGACTTTTGACATGAGAATACGAGATGAATACATCCTTATGGAGTATGAATACATGTATACCACGTTCTCCACTGTTTAAAATGACTACAGAAAATACTATTTCAGACGGGGTAACCAAAACCAAACAAAATATACCGTAGGAAAGTGAAAATAAAAGGCTATCTAAATTTTGGAAAGAATAATGTGCATTTGGGAGTAGAAATCATTCAAAGAAAAGATATATATCTATTCCGGCAGATAAAAAAATTAGCACAAGGTTTTTTGTAAGAATTTCCAATGAACAAATTTACTTTATGTGGCAGATTATCCTTTTAGTAGGAGTTCATGTCAAATATGGTCTCAACTATTTCAATCATCAGTTGCATGAAGGATATATGTATGAGCTGCAGCAGAAATTCATATCTAAGTCCAATGTGAAAACATCAAATATAGTGCACACTCACGGTTTTTTATCTTAAAATTAGCTGCAAAATTACAACTACATCATCTTTATCAGGATCACGTATATGTCATAAAATACATGGAACCTTTAATCATTTATGCTGTATGCACAAATTCAAAGTATACATGTGTGATGTGTCATACTAGAATTACATATGCAGAACACGATGGACGGTTATAAGATATTAGTGGTTGTAATCTTAGTCACCATGATTAGATATGGTCTAAGAAGATCTTATCAAGAATAAATGCTGGGCTGATTGCTGTTTCCTTAAGCTAATTAGTAGTTATTGGGCCATTTGTTATTTGGGCCTTACTATAAGGATATTTAGTAATACTATCCTATTGTATAAATATATAGAGTATGTACTACTGTAGATATCTATCGAGCTAATTCATTCTCTTCAACAAAAAGTTCTACCCTAATACTCAGATCATCTTCTTCAATTTCTCTCTTCCAAGAAACCATTGTTTTTGAGCTTTTGCTATTGTAATATGGTATCAGATTAGCCTAAACGCGATCTGTATCCTCTTCCGCTTTCAATCGATTCCTACAATCGATTTCTTCAAATCGATTCCTACAATCTCTATCGATTTCTACGATCGATTCATTCAAAACACACTATGAATCCTCTAAATCCTATTGAGGATCCCACTTCTCCCTACTATCTTCATCCAGGAGATCACTCGGGTAATCGCATCATCTACGAAACCTTCACAGGCGACAATTTCAGTGCATGGAAGAAATCGGTTGTTATGTCTTTCACGGTCAAGAACAAGCTAGGGTTTCTGGATGGCTCGATTGAACAACCTTCAAGTGATGATCAGCTACGCAATTCTTCTTGGTATCGTATCAATGCTCTTCTCCTATCTTGGTTGATGTATTCTATTTCACCTGAAATTCGTTCAACTTTTCTTTATTTTACTAATGCTAAAGATCTCTGGGATGAGATTAAACTTCGTTATGATAAAAGTGATGGTCCTAGGGTTTTTCATCTTGAAAAAACCCTAACTAATATCTCTCAAGGAACTCAAACAATCACTGCTTATTATAATCTCTTCAAGACTCTGTGGGATGAATACCTGAACTATCGTCTCATTCCTACCTGTAAATGTGGTCTCTGTACTTGCAAAATCAATGAAGTCTATCAAAAATTACTTGACCGCGACTCTGTTATGAAATTTCTTATTGGTTTGAATGAATCATACTATAATTTGAGAGGTCAAATTCTTCTTCAACCAAATCTGACTCTTTCTTCAGTCTATTCTTCTTTTCTTCAAGAAGAATCTCAGAGATCTCTTCAGAATCCTACTGGTTCTATTCCATCTTTCAATGAAACCTCTGCTTCTCATATTCCTACTCATGACTCAACTGCTTTTCTTGCTAAATTCCACTCTTCTAAAAAGAAAAGCAATGTCACTTGTACTCACTGTGGTTACCAAGGTCATTCTGCTGAAAAATGTTTCCAAATCATTGGATATCCTAACAACTGGAAAGGACCTAAAGGTCAAAGATTTGCCCCTGGTTTTAAGTCTTTCCAACCTTCAACAAAAACTCCACAAGCTCATCTGGCAAATGCTTCTGAGGAGTCTGTCTCTAATGACTTTGATTTCTGTGATCCTGACCTTTACAACAAATTCCTTCAGTTTATGCATACTCAACAAACTAAAACTTCTTCTGCTAATGTTGCTTCTGCCAATGTTGCTTCTGCTAATGTTGCTATGGCTATTAATGATGCTGGTGATACTTCTCTCAACAATAACAATGAGTTCATAGGTAAACATTTCAGTTTCAATGCTTTAAAGAAATCTATTATCTGGATTCTTGACACTGGTGCATCTGATCACATGATTTCTGACTTTTGTCTTTATACTTCAAACACTAAATCTATTTCTATAAATATTCAATTACCTACTGGTAATTTTATTCAAGCTACTCATATAGGAGATATTACTCTTAATGATAATCTGACATTACATAATGTGCTTTATGTTCCTAATTTTAGTTTTAATCTCATTTCTGTTTCCAGTTTAGCTCTTCATGAAAACATATCTGTTCATTTTAGTTCCAACCATGCTGCATTGCAGGACCACCTTACCAACAAAATCATTGGCTTTGCTGAAATTCAAAATGGATTATATCATTACAATCCTGCTACTTCTTCTTTTACAAACCATCATAATCCTGCTATCAAATCTGTTGCTAATTCTGCCAACACTCATTATGAAAGTCCTGATCTTTGGCATTATAGATTAGGTCATTTTCCTTATACAAAATTCAAAATGTTATCTGATTGTATTGTTGATAATAATGGTACTAGTACTGCTCCTTGTGATATTTGTCACTTTGCTAAACAAAAGAGACTACCTTTCAATAATAGTGATTCTTATGCTAATTCTGCTTTTGATTTAATTCATATGGATGTTTGGGGACCATATAGAGTTACTTCTTATTCTGGTTTTAAGTATTTCCTTACTATTGTTGATGATCATACTCGTTGTACTTGGGTTTTTATGCTAAAAACAAAATCTGAAGTTAAATTTCATATGATCAATTTTCATAAAATGATTGAAACTCAATTTCATAAAAGAATAAAATGTATTAGAACTGACAATGGTACAGAATTTATTTTTCCAGAGTTTTATAAAAGAAATGGTATTGTTCATCAACTTTCTTGTGTTGAAACTCCTCAACAAAATGCTAGAGTTGAAAGAAAACATCAACATATTCTTCAAATTGCTAGAGCTTTATTATATCAGTCTTGCTTACCTCTTATTTTTTGGGCTGATTGTGTTATGACTGCTGTGCATATTATAAATAGATTACCTACTGTAATTTTAAAAAATAAATCTCCTTTTGAATTACTTTATGGCATCAAACCAGATTATTCTCATCTTAAAGTTTTTGGTTCTCTTGCTTATGCTTCTACTCTTTGTGCTAATAGAACTAAATTTGATCAAAGAGCTATTAAATGTGTTTTTATTGGATATCCTCTGGGATCCAAAGGATATAAACTTTATGATTTATCAAATCATAAAATTCTGATTTCAAGAAATGTAAAATTTTATGAAATGACTTTTCCATATAAAAATACAACAACTGATTCTTTAACAAAAATGAATGATATTTCTCCAACACAAGATAACATTGATTTGCACATTTTTGATAGTTATCCAAAACAGTTAAATACTCAATCAACTTCTGAAAATCACTATGAACATGTTGAAAATCAAATTCATGATGAAGCTGCTGTTTTTAGTCACCATGATTCTTCAAGTTTGATTCAGGATAATACTAATGCTACAATGGATGAACAACATGTTCAAAGACAGTGTACAAGAGTAAGATCTGTGCCCATTCATCTTAAAGATTATGTATATCAGTTACCTATTTCTTTAGATCATAATACTAATACTAATGCTTCTGTTTGCAATCTTGTTAGATATCCCATAAATAACTATATCACTTATGACAGACTAACTTCTTCTCATAAGTGTTTTACTGTTGCCCTTTCCAACACCATTGAACCTAAAACTTACAAACAAGCTATAAATTTTCCCGAATGGAAAAAGGCCATGAATGATGAAATTCAAGCCCTTGAAAATAACAAAACCTGGATCCTTGTTAACCTACCAGAAAACCAACATACCATAGGGTGTAAGTGGGTGTTTAAAACAAAGCTAAAATCTGATGGTTCCTTAGATAGATATAAAGCTAGACTAGTAGCAAAAGGTTATACTCAAGAAGAAGGTTTGGATTACTTAGATACTTTTTCCCCCGTTGTTAAACTCACAACTGTCAGAATCCTTTTAGCTATTGCCACTGCTAAGAATTGGTTTTTACATCAACTTGATGTAAACAATGCTTTTTTACATGGTGATTTGTATGAAGATATATATATGCAGGCTCCTCCAGGTTATTTAGCAGCAAATGACAATAGAGTATGTAAACTTCTTAAGAGTTTATATGGGTTAAAGCAGGCCTCCAGACAATGGTACTGTAAACTATCTGAATCTCTTAAATCTTTTGGTTATAATCAATCTCAAGCAGATTTTTCTTTATTTACTAAAGTAACTAACACTTCTTTTACTGTTTTACTATTATATGTTGATGACTTAATCCTTGCAGGCAATGATTTAAATGAAATCAGTGCTGTAAAAACTTTTCTACATAATAAATTTACCATTAAAGACCTTGGAGAGTTAAAATATATCTTAGGAATTGAAATTGCTAGATCAGAAAAGGGTATTTCCCTTTGCCAAAGGAAATACACTTTAGATATTCTCTCTGATGCCGGATACCTTAACTCAAAACCTTTTTCCACACCTATGGACCCCAAACTTAAACTTTCTAAAACTCAAGGACAACCTTTAACTGATCCTAAAAGCTATAGAACTTTAATTGGTAGGCTTCTTTATCTTACTGTTACCAGACCTGATATATCATATAGTGTTCAAACTTTAAGCCAATTTCTTTCTAATCCTACTGATACACACCTAAGTGCAGCTCATAGAGTTCTCAGGTATCTCAAAAACTCCCCAGGTAAAGGTCTTTTTTATCCATCCTCTTCTGATTTTAAATTACAAGGTTATACTGATTCTGATTGGGCAGCCTGCATTGATACCAGAAGAAGTATATCTGGATATTGTTTTTATCTTGGAGATTCTTTAATCTCTTGGAAATCTAAGAAACAAGCTGTTATCAGTAGGTCTTCTACTGAAGCAGAATAAAGGCTGCTGCCAATGCAGTTTGTGAAGCCCAATGACTTTCATATATCCTTCAGGATTTAAAAATTAATCATTTCTTACCTATTCTTTTATATACTGACAACAAATCAACATATCATCTTGCATATAATCCAATTCAACATCAAAGAACTAAACATATTGAATTAGACTGTCATTTAATTAGAGATAAAATAAATGCTGGGCTGATTGATCTTATACATATTAATAACAGTTTTCAACTTGCAGATATATACACAAAAGCTTTAGGAAATCCTCTCTTCAACCAGTTTGCATCCAAGATGAACCTGATTGACATCCATGCTCATCTTGAGGGGGCGTATCAAGAATAAATGCTGGGCTGATTGCTGTTTCCTTAAGCTAATTAGTAGTTATTGGGCCATTTGTTACTTGGGCCTTACTATAAGGATATTTAGTAATACTATCCTATTGTATAAATATATAGAGTATGTACTACTGTAGATATCTATCGAGCTAATTCATTCTCTTCAACAAAAAGTTCTACCCTAATACTCAGATCATCTTCTTCAATTTCTCTCTTCCAAGAAACCATTGTTTTTGAGCTTTTGCTATTGTAATAGATCTAAAGGCTTCTAAGTTATAGATTTCATGATACTTTATGGTGTTTAATGAATAGATTAATTTATAATATTACAGTTGCAAGATTATTGTTAGTAAGTTGTGCATATGAATGGAAAGAAACCGCACACATTTAGGATGTCAGACAAGTAAGTTGTGCATATGAATGGAAAGAAACCGCACACATTTAAGGTAAATTAAATTTCATATATTGTCTTATTTATTATTGCCTATTTTGTAAAACAGGCTGCTTTGCAGTGACTTCAATGATATTTGGATGGACCTCAAAACCAGAAAGTGGAATAAATACCATCAAAAGGAAAAATTGATGAAAGAGACAAAAAAGGCCCTAAATTGTAATGCTAAAGCAGTTTTCTCGCTCGCATGATGTATCGTTCACAAAGTGGGAAGGAGAGTCTCAAATCAGACACCATGTTAGACCTCATGCATTTCCAAGTCACATTTTGAGAACCTCAAATAAATAAGCATTGGAGAGTATATCAGTATATATTGCAAAAGAAAGTGCTCTTGATGAAGTGGAATCTCAATTAGGATGTTTTCTTTTGGACTGTTTTCAGTCCCAGATCAGACCAGACCAGATCGACCAGACTAGACTTCCGTAGTTATAAAATACACAGAGACCGGACGTTTACCAGACCAGTTTAGACCAGACCGACAAATTTCAGTCCAAAAGAAAACATCCTTAGTCTCTGCATCATTAGAGATATCCTAATAGATACAAAGGTCTAGAATTTAAATGAATCTTTTAGCTGAATTTGAAGTAACCTTTTGGACATTTCTCTCCTTATATAGTATACTATCGTATATAACATCTACTACGTATTTTGGAAATGTTATTCGTTTAGTTGAATATATATGCATGTTGTGGTTCTTAGTGTATATTTAACTATTTAGCGATTCTTAATTAGAGTTACAAACATCTGTGTATACAAATTTGCTATTTGATCTTTCATTATTTTAATGCTTTTCTCAACGTCGTTATGTTTATATTACTCTGATTACACTATATCTATATACTCCGTATAATTTAAAGTATTTTATGTTCCGTGCATCGCACGGGTGAAATCTAGTATTAAATCAACAAAACGTTCGTCACATGACTGACAGACTGACAAATACAATCAGAGAAAAAATGGAAAACAAAATGATAAGAAGCCTTTTGTCCGCCGCCCGCCCTTGAATCAGATTTAGAATCTATCGCATCTGTAGATGCAACACGAATTGTTGATCTTGTAATGGGCTTAACTGAGCTAATAGAAACTAAGTAGATAGAATTAGAAAGTGAATCATCATTGATGAGAGAGAGTCATTACAGAGTATTTATACAATACAGAAGTCAAGCAACTAACTACCGGGTCTAACTGAACCCCTTAACTAATAGTAATAGTATATGAGTATTTATTTATTACAGCTAACATTCCCCCCTCAAACTGAAGATGATTGTTTTGGAAAATCAATCACATTTAGTTTGTTTCTAAAGTCAAGAAAAGTGGAAGCAGATAGAGGCTTGGTCAGCACATCTGCAATTTGTTGGGAAGCTGGAATATGCAAGACTTCTAGTTGCTTGAGTGTGATTTTCTCTCGCACAAAAAACAGATCAAGTTCCATATGCTTGATTCTTGAATGGAGTATAGGATTATGTGCAAGTTGGACTGTGCTGAGATTGTCACAGTAGATTCTGGGAGTGGAGAATGTAGCATGAAGTTCTTTGAGTAAGAATTGAATCCACAAGACTTCTGAAGTAGTATCTGCCAGACTTCTATATTCATCTTCTGCTGATGATCTTGCCACCCTTGGTTGTTTTCTAGACCACCAAGAAATTATATTGAGGCTTAAGAAGATACATGATCCCGAGGTACACTTTCTATCAACAGGGTCTGATGCCCAATCAGCATCACAGAAGGCAGATATAGGAAGAGGAATCTGAGATAATGGAAGGGGCTTGATAAGCAGCCCATGATTGATGGTACCAGATAGATACCTCAGAATATGTTTCACGGCCTTCCAGTGCTCTTGGAGAGGATTAGCCATGAATTGGCAGACTTTGTTTACAGAGTGGCATACTGCAAAGTGCCAACCACAGATCTGTACTTAGAAGGATCAGGGAGGCAATCAGTCCCTTCATTGGTAAGTTTGCAATTACTTATCATGGGTGTTTTGACACCTTTGGAATCTGTCATCCCAACCTTGTGAAGAAGATCTCTGACATATTTTGATTGAGATAGATGAATACAGCCATCAAAAAATTTTCTAACTTCAATCCCCAGAAAGAAATCTTTATCTCCCAGATGTTTGAGAGAAAAAGAAGAATTCAGGTGCTGAATGATCTGGCTAATCACATTAGAACTGTTTCCTATGACAAAAATGTCATCCACATAGATTAAAATATAGATTTGTATTCCAGAAGTGAGATAGATGAGTAATGAGGGATCGCTTTTGCTTTGTTTAAAACCAGCATTATACAAAATTGAAGTAAGTTTTTGAAACCAGGCCCTTGGAGCTTGTTTGAGGCCATATAATGATTTATGTAGCCTGCAAACAAGAGAGGTGTCCTGAGCTTGAAAACCTGGAGGCTGTGTCATGTACACTTCTTCCTCAAGTTCCCCATTGAGGAATGCATTGTTAACATCTAATTGCTGTATAGACCAATGGTGAGAGACAACAAGTGTGAGAAGGATCCTGATAGTAACAGGTTTGACTACTAGAGAAAATGTTTCTCCAAAGTCAAATCCAAACTTTTGATGAAAACCTTTGGCAACCAATCCGGTTTTAAACTTATTGATAGACTCATCTGAATTTTCCTTGATTCTGAATACCCATTTACAACCAATTGCCTTCTTTCCTGGAGGAAGAGGCACAAAAGTCCATGTTTTGTTTGCAAGTAGTGCATTATATTCAGTCTGCATTGCTGCATGGCAAGAAGGAGATGAGAGAGCCTGCCTTACTGATTTGGGCTCAATATGAGCTAACAGCAAGGAGGGATTATGTCTAGGTTTAACTATCCCAGATTTGGATCTGGTTTGCATAGGATGAGTGTTAGTTACTTGAATGGGAGTTGTAGAAGATGAGGAAGAAACAAGTTGTGTATGAGAAGAAGAGTTTGAAGTGTGGAGTTGAGAGTTGTCAGGAGGTGATTGATTTGGAGATAAACTAGGTGTAGAAGATAAAGAATTATGATGAGAATTGGAGTCATTGGGAGAAGAGTTAGGTTGTGAATGATTGGAGAAATCAGAAGATGAGTTTTGTTGAGAATGGGAGTGAGCAGATGAAGGGCTGAGAAACATCATTGTTGTTGTCATAAGGAGAGTGAGGTGAAGAGAAGGGAGCAGGGCCAGAGTTTGGAAGAATTGGACTGGCTCTGTTGTTGGGTTGGGTAGGAAGAGAAAAAGTTATGGGGTGATTTGATGGAACTTGGACAGTAGAAGAAATGGTTGATTTGGTGGGAAAAAGGGTTGTATAATGGAATGTGGTCTTATTGAAGACAACATCCCTGGATATATAGATTTTACCACAGGGAGATAGACACTTATAACCCTTATGATGAGAGGAGTATCCTAGAAATACACACTCCTGGGAGTGGTAATCAAATTTATGCTTGTTATAGGGTCTTATGAAGGGATAGCAAGAGCATCCAAAGACTTTCAAGAATGAGTAATCTGAAAGGATCTTATACAGTTTGAAATAGGGGCTTAAATTGTCAATGGATTTTGAAGGAAATCTATTTATGAGGTGTACAGCTGTAGCAAAGGCAGTGTCCCAGAACTTTAGAGGTAGGGATGAGTGTGCTAACAAACATAGACCTTTTCAACTATAGTGCGATGCTTCCTTTCAACAACACCATTTTGATGGTGTGTGTGAGGACAGATAACTCTATGAGTGATACCTTTTTGGGTGAGAAATTGTGTAAACGATCTGAATTCACCTCTCCAGTCAGATTGGAGAGATTTAATTGAAACATTGAGCTGATTTAACACATATTGGTAGAAGTTTTGAAAGGCAGAGAATGCATCAGATTTCTTTTTGAGAAAATAGATCCATGTGAATCTAGTAAAGGCATCAATGAAAGATACATAGTAAGAGTATCCATCAAAAGACTATATAGGAGCTGGGCCCCACAAATCAGTGAAAATTAATTCAAAGGGAGAGTGATAGACAGTATTAGATGGATAGGAGGGAAGCCTGTGAGCTTTCCCTAGACAGCATGCAGAACAAAAATCAACAACAATTTTATTTATTAAGGAAACATTACACAGATGCATTATAGATTTGAGAGCCTCTAAGTGAGGATGTCCAAGTCTTAAATGCCAGATATTACAAGAGTCGTGTGATTGAGTTTTATTACAAGTAGAAATCGGAGAACTAGGACAAACAGAGTTATTAGTGGACTTGTGAGACCCAATAGCTGGAAAAGATTGAAATTTGTACAGACCATCTGCACCAAGGATGCCATAGAGAAGAATCTGTTTAGAAATCTGGGATTTAACAAAGCACTCATGAGGATGAAATTCAAAAAATGCATTGTTATCTTTGGCAGATTTACTAACACTTATTAGGTTTTTGGTTATTTTAGGGACATGCAAGATATTTTTAAGAGACAGGGAGAGGGAAGATTGATAAGGGGAAGAGAATGATGAAAAACCAATAGACTTAATCTCCAGACCTTGGCCATTACCCATAAAAAGCTTGTCAGTAGTGGCAATTGGCTCACTATGCTGAAGGTTGAGTGGATCTGAAGTTACATGATGTGTAGCTCCTGAGTCTGGGAACCAGTTCTGAGAGTTGGGTGCTGGTCCAAGCACAGAGGAATTTGCACAAGCCCATGTTGCAGTTGGAGCATTGCTCAGATTGGAATTGGGAGTGAGATTTGGGGTAGATGAGGATGATGGTACCCAATTAAAGTTTGATGGAGCTGAAGGATTGCTTGAGTATCTTGATGTAGCAGGATTATTGAAGGGATTTGAGTGGTTATGAGGTGTGTATTGGTGAGGTATGGGCAT